AGATATAGATAGATAGATAGATAGATAGATAGATAGATAGATAGATAGATAGATAGATAGATAGATAGATAATTTGTGATCTCATAAGATATACATACTATATTCCACTGAAAAGAGTACAATGTCCTTCAAATAGGTTTTGCGTAGATTCCAAGTTACAGTCATGTCCATCACTGAGTGTTTTAAACTTTTTATTGAATTGTGTCTTCAAACCTAGTGAAAGAGTCTGTGTCTTTCAAAAGCAAGCCCCTTCACTGATTGTTCTTTCGCTTTATTTACATAGTGATATGCGGCTGGTTGAGTTTCATTGTTTCAGTATGCTATCGTATGCTGCTTCAGGGAAATTTACTAAAAAACTTGAAGCCAGTTGACTTCACAAGAAAATACATATATATAGTAATTTTTTTTGTCAGACTTTAAAAAAAGCAACCCCTCTCTATCTTACCTTAGTAGGCTTCAACATATTTCCTATGGGTCATATTTCATCATTGAAGAAACATGTAACCAGAACGATAGACTTATATGGTAGGAGCTGAGTTATTCCCCATGAAATTGGCCTTAGAACACTCATTTTTTGTCTCCCAATGAGCGGGCTCTTTGGAAAAGCTACTACTGTATTTAATTTTCCTGTTCAGATTATAAACCCTGCTAATAAATGGGTTCAGTGTAAGCGCTATCTATTTGGAATGCTGAAACTGACCGTAGAGGAGTCATAATCATACTACAAAGGCAAAGGAGAAGCAATAAAGCCCTCATTTTCATTCAAGCTTTGAAAATGGCAACTATACATGACATCATATTTGTCATATATATTGCAGTTGAGATCAAGGAAGCCATTATTGAGGTTGTTGAATAAAACAATAAGACAAACTGTCAAATATTTTGAAATTTGGATGTACAAGCCTACACATTCCCTCAAATATTTATTCTGTTGGTATCCTCCATGAATTTTGGCTATAGTGAGGCGGGGCCATTACGACACATTGTATGTAATCCACTCTCTCTCTGTCTCTCTCTCTGTCTCTGTCTCTCTCTCTCTCTCTCTCTCTCTCTCTCTCTCTCTCTCTCTCTCAGAATTTGAATATAACATCCTTTTTTATTTTGCCCATTCATTAATTTTTTAAACAAATTTCAGGGACCTTTCGAATGGATACTTGATTGCTGAAATTTTCTCTTGGTACTTCCCCCAAGAGATCCAGATGCATTCGTTCTACAACAGAGATTCCTTAGACCTGAAGCAAAGGAACTGGTATATCTTGAAAAATGTAAGGGTACATTATTAGGGGGATTGTAGAAAAAAAGACTGCAGGATTTCCCAAACGCTAAATCGCACCATCTTTTCGAACACAATGTTTTCAAAAATTTTTATATCTACTGATGCTTAGTTACATAGATAATAATGGCTTTGTAAAGTAACTGAATAATTTACACTAACCTAAGTGAAGGTGGAGAAAGTGAGCCTTACTGCAAACTGCAAGTGAAATTCGGTCATCCATAAATTTTTTTACTGCAATTGGTGAAGAAACAACTAGATTTTATGAACCTTTGCAGTCAGATGCTTTGAGCACTTCAGTCTGGAGAGAAACGGTTTTCCTCTAGGTACAGCATTTTAAAAGCAGAGAAACTGGAATTTCCTGAGCAAGGGACAAAAGCGCTCTGGGGACAAAAGCTACTCCCACAAAGGTTACTGCCATCTAACTTAAGCTATAGTTGATGAGGACATTCATGAGACTGAAACTTCCAGTGCTTGGAACTGTGACCCCTGACACATGGTGAATACCGTCTTTAATGATGAAACATGGATGCACTTTTTTTTTAGCCAAACAGGAATTCACAAAGCATGTCATGGCACTCGAAAGGATACGAGCCCTTAAAAATTGAAGACAAAACAACAAGTCCACAAAGAAGATCATGATAATTAGTGGAATTTGTATAGCGCTCAATCCTTTCCCTTGGAGGCTCTAAATGCTGGTCAATGCAGAATTTATCTCTCAACTTTTCTGATGAATCAAAAGACCGAAAATGCTTATTGTGGGCCCATTTAACAACTTACACACACACAAACACACATATTTGCATATATACATATGCACTCACAGGCACACATACACATGCAAGCCCACACACATATAAATTATAATATACACACACACAATTTTTTATTTTTTTTAATGACTCAACATTGTCTGTACTTGCTCTTTCCAGTTCATCCTCAAAAATCAGCTTGACCTGAAAATGGCAGATGTGGATGGAACTATTCACTGTAGAGAAGGAGCTGCTGCCCAGCTTACAGAAAAGCTATATGAAATTCTCACAAACAGAAAGTATGCTGTGTATAATATTTCAGTATAAGAGCTATCTCTTTCAGTATAAGTGAATTAATCCTTTTTCTTTTCCTGCTTCAATAAAGCCGGGAAAAGGAAAATTTTGGGGGTCATTGATGTCATAACATTGTAGAGTCATTAGTAGAACCGATTATTTGTGTCGATGTGAGGTAATGGTGTGGATAGATGAAGTATAATTCACATTATGCTATTGTTGTATTGCATTTTAAAGTTTTTTGCCGGCATGCTAACTGCTGCCTTTGATACTGCAGTAAGATAGTATTACTGATCTCTACTGCCATACCTTAACACTTCCCATCCACTCATCCAGTGTGCAGAGTGCTAAATCTTTGTTCCCATGTACCAGGATACAAATGGGGTACATCAGTACTATATTTGTATCTCAACCAATATAAAATTTTCAGCATATTGATAAAATTGAACTTGACGATCGCTTGTTCACCAAAAAAGAAAATAGAATCGGAACTTAAATCCATAGATGATCATGGCGTCAGTGAAAAGTAGCACTCATGCTATTGCTAGATCAATTTGTAATTATTTCCCCAAAAATTCACTCCAATTGTAAACAAACTGATTATTGCACTCAACAAAGGGCACACAAACCATTCTGAAAGGAAATTATAACTTCAACAAATGTTCTTGTCTAAAGGGAGATCATTACTATATCGTTTTTTTTGCTATTCACACTGTCGCTGATCGGCGTAGCGTAAGGGCAAAGTGTCAATCATTTTGAGTGAAAGTAAAATGATTACTGAAGGCTCATTTTTGTAACAGCTTAAAGGAAATATTCACTGAAATACTGTGGATTTTTGCATTTATTGAAAGTGTATACAAGGCATGGTTGCAGCTTTGTATGATGAGAATAGCGCGTACTCCCTCAACCACCACTCTTCCACGCTTTACTCAGAATGATAATGACTCTGGAGTATAATAGTATGTCGTTTTTGTTATCCCAGCACCCAAAATCAGTCTTAGTCTTTTATCGCAGTGGGTGATATTCTTAGTAAGTATACTTACACACACACACACACGGACACACACACACACGCACACA